TATATATATATATATATATATATATATAGCTTTTGGTATAAAAAGACACAAATAGTCAGCAAATGTACAGTTCAGTATATGAGTTTAACCCATCAGTAAGTATTGTCAGTAGTAATACAAAGTGGACATCAGTAAACATATATCGATAAAGTTTAATTTATATTAGTCAAATAAAGAAAAGTAACGAGCATTGTATCAAAAAGTCTGTTATACATCTTTAATATTGATTACATATGCGATATTACGTGTGCATGACTTATGTGATAACGAGTCTAACCAGATTTTATTGTCCAGTTTAATTAAATCCAGTGTTATTATGGCTAAGTTTAGATTCTCATTCGAATAATACTTAGGCACTATTTTGTCCAGGATTGGCAAGTAACGCGTTACTTGTAACGCTGTTACTTTGCTGGTCGTCGTTACCTTGTTAATAACAATTTAATTATGATATTTTGAATTTTTTATGACCGTAATGGTAACATGCATTTTCTCATTTTTATCAACATTTTTACTATCAAAAAGTTGATAGTATTTGAGTAAAAAATTATTGTACAATTATATTATATTAATTGTACAATTTGAACATTGAGAAAGAACTCTTTAACCAGCTTAATGTTCAGATTATATTCGTACAATTAACTCAGAACCACACCAAGAATCCATGACTTCAATTTACTGTTGTATGCGCTGAGGATGACTTAAATAGATATCGATATTGTATTAAATATATAACATTTATATGTACTGGTAACCATGAAATTATGTATAAAATAATTACTTTTATGTAATAATATATATAATAATATATATGTAATAATTTATGTGATAATATATGTTAATAGATACGCTATAGTTAACTGCGTTTATTCTCAATTACCCTCATTTCACTTCATAATTAATTTTAACGAATCTGAGAGGTCAAATTAAATATTTGTTTTAATATACTTACATATTGCGTATTCACATTAATTTTAATAAATCATTCATTTTTTGCATAATGTAAATTTTTATAAGAATTTAATTTTATCTTTCTAACACATTCGGATATATTACAGATATTTCAAATATTCTGAAATAATTAATTTTTGTTCTTAACGATGACAATTAGTGATGACACAATAAAACATTTTTACAATCCATTGAAATACGTTTCAAATAACAATTTGCAAAGACAAACACATTTGCTTAATTGATAAATTTAATAAATGTCTAAAAACGTATCTGAAAAATGCATTAGACATAAGATGTGGACCTGGATATAACAAAAGATATAATTTTGCTCTTGATCCAAATGCAATAGTAAAAGGTAAAAGAAACAATAATCAATACAAAATGTATAGCAACATATTAATATAAATTGCTTATAATTGTTACTTAAAAATTATATATTGTAAAGTTCATTTTTTATATGCTTCCTGCCAACTACTTTCTCCTTATATCTAAAGATATAGAGATATATCGAAAAGAATGATTATGCAAAGAAAAATATACTACGGAGAAACGATTCGAATTTGATGTTTTAGATATATGTACAAACTGAAAATTTGCCTACAAAATACATATCCGAATTTGATTTCGTACTTTCATTCCACGCTTTGCATTGGTGCAATGACATCAAGTGAGAAAGATTTTTTAATAAAGATAATTTCATTTTTTTCTCGACGTATTCTTTCTTTACAAATGTACTATAATAATGGAATTAATTATCGATGATATAACTAATAATTGATGGCTATTTATGCAAAATAATATCACTTTTCTCAAAAATGAATTTAAAATGCGCATTTATGAAAACAGTATTTAATTTAATCTTTTCAATGTTTAATAATATGTGTCATGATCAAACATGGAATTTCTATGAAATTTTCTTTATTTTCAATAGTATATATACTTCTAGATCTAGAGATTTACACGTTTAATATATCATTATAGGAATAAGTTATGTATAATATGTCATTATGTTTATTCTTACCTTTTATAAGTAATAATTATATAACAATAATAACGCAAAAAACAACATTCTATATTGGATCATACTTTTAATGCGTATCTCATCCTAGATTAAATTTCATGCTAAAAGTGAGAGAAAATAACTTGAATTTTTAAGACGACATCATAATAAAAGAGATGTATTTAATACATGATTAGTTTCACAAACTCATCTATTTAGGATGTTATTTAACCTATTTAATTCTTAATTTCATTGTTGACGTGAAAAGATTTTGTTTGTCATATCAAAAGTTATATTAATATGTGCAGATAATACGAAATGCTTCAGAAATTGAGAATGTGGAATATAATTCATCGTTTAAATTATATGGTAAATATTAATTATTGTAGTTTAAAGCCAAAGAACTAGGGTATATTTTTTTAATAAAAGCTTTTATTAAATGATAATTGTTTGTTTTATTTAATTTTTTCTCTAAATTTTCGCAGTTACTGCACTTTCCCTCATATGTATAATATTTTGCCAAAAATGAATTAATTTATTATGCTATAAAACTTTTTCTGGTATGTCTTAAAAGATACGGTTTAAGCAATTGGTCTCCTCAATTATATCTATAGGTTTCGGAAAACGTATTTTTTCTTAAATTAATAAAAAATGCAATTATAAAAGTTTATACATAGTGACAAATTGAAAAGTATCTAATATATGTAATAATAATATGAACGTATATGCATTATAAAATTTAATATACAAATTTAATCTCTACATTTATGGTTAACAACTGTAGTACTACAGTTATAGTCGTTAAAAGTTATAGAATAAGCCTCTTAATTCCAAATAAATCTTATTTTATTAAAACTATCAATATGTTTGCCACAATCGGTATTTATATTTTTATATCTACATCAAAAAAATAATAATTTAAGAAATTGATGTTTCCAAAAAATAGTAAAACGATGCATCAATAATATTATTATAAAAATATATTATATAAAAATATTTAAATGTGATATTTAAATATTTACATAAAGATGCAATAAGCAAAATCAGGTCAGCGATCTCAGATGTTTTGCTTTCAACGATGAATGTGGGTTAGTGAAACTTTCAAACCGTTACTTGCATCGCGTGATTCTTCTTAAATTAAAATACAATATGTTCTATAAAAAGAAAAATAATAACATCTACAAACAACTTCAAAATATATAATGTTTATTAAATAATAACTATAAAATAGTCCAACAAACATAAGTATAAATATAATGTCATCTTTTAACATTTATATCAGTTTTAATAACAGTATTAAGATTACATGACCAATAGATTTTATCTAAAAAAGTTTAAGTCATTATATTTTATTTATATACCATAAGCTTTTTGAATAAAAAATACTCTATCTTTTTGATATATTTTGATTTCAAATAAAATATTCCTTATTTATGTAAGATCAGATAACTGCCCAAATTTATAAATTCTCATCGAAAAAAGCATTATTGTTGTTTATCCAGATAGCAAAATTCTTCTTTAGCAAAAATATAAATATTTTGAAATTAAGAACATTTATATTTTATAAAAAAACATTTACATATATATTTTTAACAAATACAAATATTAATCTCAAAAAATAAAAACACAAAGAAATTCAAAGCTACACAATACACATTAAGCAGAATAAATCCACTTCAATAATATATCTGCCCTTCTTTTCGCGCTGACTTTCATTAGCTTTAAGTTTCAGTCTTTATATATTTTAAAGATTGAGAGTCCATGTAATTTTTTATTATTTATTTTAAATCTACGCTGGCTGCAAGATGGATCAAATATTAGTTTCTTTATAATTCTTTAATTCCACTACTGTAACATTTGGCATCACATTATTAAATTTTATAAAGCTTTGGATTGCTGAGAAAGACTCCAACATTGAAACATTAAAAATTGGAATAAAGATGATATCATACATTAAACAGAGTAGATAGTTATTCCGCTTCAATAATATGGGCCCCTTTTTCCACCTTGATTCTCATTAGTTTGAGCTTCTTTATGTTTGTATTTTTTAAAGATTAAGAGTCTATGTAATTTGTTACTATTTATTCTTAGCTTCGAAATATTTGAATCGAATGTTCTGTGTATATATACAATAAATATTCTATTTAGAAATTCATATTTATAATAAAAAATGTATAGAATATTTCTCAAACAAAACATTTATAGAATGTTCCTCGAAATATTCATAGAGTTAACAAGAATTGTATATGGAATAGTCTTATTTATGGATAAGATTATGTTTAGACGTATAATAAAAACGTATTATTCTAAAACATTATATAAAATGTTCTATACACATTTATAGAATATTTATATAGTATGATACGAATATACTATGTGAACATGATCTTAATACTTAACGATGTTTTAATACATCCATAACAAATATAAATAATCTTAATAAATGTTTGTACAACATTCACAGAATGTTTTTTTGTTATTTAAATATATGTCTTTATATGTATGTCTCAGTTATTAAAAGAAAAACGTTTTAAAGACATCGCAAGAGTGCATTTCGAAAGTTTATAAAGAGTTAAACGAATATATACAAATAATATATTGTATATATACTAATAAATATATACTAACAATACATAATACTACATATTATATATTATACAATATGTATACATCTAATATATAAGATGCGTTCCATTTTGCGCTTTTATAGCACTTGTCCTTGTAAGTTTTATTTGTCCTTGCATAATTTGATAGACAATAAAGATGAATTGATATTTACAGGGTGTAAATGTGAAAACGAAATGTATCCATAGTAAGACAAAACTTTAGCAAGCTACAGATCTTTTAACATCTTAAAATCTTCTTTTCAAAGAAACGTGATCAATAATTTTAATTTGTAATGTTTTTTAAAAACCATTATAACTGT